GAAAGGGTGGTATGTGTCAGAGTGATTGTTGGACATGGTGGGGAGGGGTCACACGCATGCACGTGCACACTTGTACACACAACTCACACACGAACACAGACGCACGCACAATTTGCTTCTCATTTGTTGAGTGCTACATTTCAGGAAAAAAAGAGTCTATTGTTTCCTCTGAAAGGTTCTTGTTTTAGCCGTTTTACTAAATCAAAAGTTCCTCTGACACAAAGGACTCCGTCCTTCATTCTGTCATCTTGAAGAGGCCAGGGCCTTTTGACTGCTTCCATTTGTTGCAAAAAAAAAAAATCACCATTTAACCCTCCCTTCAACAACATGCTTTATTTTTTCCTACATGTCCTTAAAAAATATAATTTTGATAACATTAGTTGCAAATTTTTAGTCTGAAGTCATTATTTTATATTACTGGGCCAAAACCATTATTTTGAAAAGTTTTCACAAAAGTGCAGTTGAAGGTACGCTAAGGCTAAGTTGAAGGTACGCTAAGGCTAAGAGACTAGCTGTCTCACAGCAACTAGTCTAAGATAAAATAAAAATCTTAGAAAAAACACATCTTTCAGTGATGTTAAATTATATTCTGTGACACAAAAAAATCAGTTTATTTATGAGATTCATTAGTCACAAAGTAATCTTTTAACCTTGGCTAAGCTAAGCTAATCCTGCTAATGCAAGGTAAACTGATCAGGGTTTCTCAGTATTTTCTTTCTTTGTATGTTTAAAATAAATGTTTCTTTCAATACATTTCACCATAGTTTTTTATTTTTTTAAATTCTGAAATGCTAATATCTGTCTTAGAACTTTTTGACCCATCATTGTATAAATAAATATTAAAGAGCACACAGGTCTGTCAGCTTGGTTGTCTCTCACCATTGTCTTTATTTTATATAATAGGTGACAGACTGTGATTTTGAATATATATATTTTTAAATCTATATTTACACTCACAAAGTCATATTTTATGCTCCCTCAGGTTGTATTATACATCTGTAGTGCAGTAATATTACTACCTCAGCGACCACTTTTTACTACTACTACTACTACTAGAACCAATAATAATAACTATAATAATAATAACAATAATAATAATAATTCCCATAATCATTCATTATTATTCAATATCTTACAATTGTTTAATTGTATTAACAATAAATTACTCTACTTAACCTTGTATTTTAAATCTAATAAAGACCACACCAGGGAAAATTATGATGTCACCTATGTTACATAACACTGCAGAGCTTCATTATAAAATAATATAATAGTCATAAAACATTCTCCACTTCATGTCCAGTATATTTTACTTCTGCGAATCCTAACTCGCTCTTTTCCGTCAGCACAACAGGCAGCGTTACAGTAAACGCCTGACTGACTTAATGATCTTGTCTTCTTAATTACCATCTGTAATGATCGTGTCTTTACAACGACCCTGTTAAATCCAGACACAAATGAAGCAGCAGAGACCTTGGCTTTGCTGCATTAATGTTATTGGTGTTGGGTCGTAACATCTTACACTTTTATTACGTTGCATTACCACTTGACATGACTCCAGTTTATGACCCGTTCATAATGTCTGGCCTTCATTAGAGACACGTTGGACGTCCACGTTGTAATGACCAGACCTTGTTGCTCTGCCTTTGTTTGTTCTCCTATAATGTGAGCATATGTTTCCTCAGGCCTTTATGGCCAGAGCTAAACTAAACGCACCTCTCACGTGGAGCCATAAAAAGTGTACATATGTTTAAGGCTGGAAGAAAACTGATAGTTGGAGTAATAAACTCTGACACTTTCACACTGTTATGCTAACTGATAATGACGATAACGACGATGATTACGATGACATTATGGAGATTTGTCAGGGCCGTCGACGGCATCCGTGGGCCGAGGGGTATGTTTGTCTTTCTGGACGGCCTGCAGTCCCAAGGGGGAGGTTTTGGAGCAGATGGTGGCCTCAGTGGGCAGAGTTTGTGTCAGTTGACAGTGGATGACTCTCACGGCGAGGAGCCATCCTGGTGTAACCCGTCCGTGGGTCGGTGAAGAACAACAAACTGTAACGAAGGACGTGACGATGTTTGTGATCTTTTGGTCAACAAAGCAGGAAAGGACTGCTGATCTGGATGTGAGTGATCCCTGGAAGGAGAAGGTCTCAGCTGGGGTTGACAATGAAGAAGATGATCTCCGGGTGGGTCTGTGTCATGGCTCTGTCTCTTTCTCTGCAGCTGTTGTGATCACCTCCAGCATTAAGCTGGATCCAGCCACGGGTCTGTCCACCGCCTCCTCCATGCTGCATTTTGTGTTTTGATCAGTAAAGGGGAGCTGGTTTTCGTCAGTGGTGACTGTTGTCAGATCACCCGTGTTCCATGATTGGCTGAATCCATTGAAGGCCTTTCAGCTAAAACGTGAACTTAAGCACTTGTCCAATCTCACTCGGCCTTG